ATGGAAGAAAGTGAATGTATTTACAGTGGGAAAAACGAGCACAGGCTTTTGCAGTTAAAATTACATGATTTTTTTTCATAGTTTCAAAAGAAAAATCTAATAAAAAAACCGGATCGAAAAGCTTAAGTTGGTAATTCAGATATATCGCTCGCACGCTAAGATTCGTAAAGCGGGAGCGGAGGCTCGAATTATGAGGAAGAAAGTTTTTATAGTATTTTTATGTCGTATATACACGGAGTCATGGGGGTATCTAAGTTCCGCATAAAAGAAAAACGTACACGCCCTCCTGGTTTCGCCCTATATTCCACAACTTAAACAAATTAAAGCGTCGTGCGCCGCGTTACTTTACGACTATCCCGCGGTATACAATACGAATTGTGTCATGAATCTTTGATATCCTTTATATATGTATAGGCATTGCTGCAGAATTACATTATTGGCATATGTTTTTCCGACGCCTGATCAGCGTCCACGACGACCGATTGACCACTTCGTGAACGTTATGCTGTTTTATGCTTTGGTAATTATGACGCGATTCTAGCGCGACGGGGATCATTTGGGTTCCGAAATGGGATCCGAAGAGGCCGGCACGAGGGAAGGGCTGGTACACGGTACCTCGATGCGCGGTACGAGACCTCCGGGGCCGTAGTTTTAGGGGCGAGTCGGTCGCTTATTGCTCCCCGAGTGGCCGCAAAACGAAGTTTGATCAAATTCTACTGCGCCGGCATAAAACTGACCGGCCGGCTGGCCGGTACGTTGGGTTATGGACTCGATAAATGATTCATCCACGCCTCGGATACGACTCGCGATACGTACACACGGATGCACCGATCTCCTCGCTCGTCCGCACTCGAATAACGCGCCAACGAAGAAGACGGGAGAGAAAAGCGACCCTCGTAAGCGACACCGTAGCGGCTCCTTTACGACCGTATATACGTCTTAAGTTAAGTCGGAGAGAGCTCCGACCGAAAATAATACGCGATTACGAAACGCTTGTAACACGGTGGTATATACGGCGTGACGCATTGCACGTGCAGTCCTTGCATAACGGATCTCATAACATATTCATCAATTTATTTTTATTCTAAAATCGCGCTTCTAAATTGAAGTCGCGCACGAGCGTATATACGTACGAGCTGGTGTATCGCGGAACGGCCAGCGGCGGTCCAGCCGGCGACCTTGCCTAAGAGATGTACGATATTCTTTTCAATAAAGCCGAACATCCATCAGACTTTGATGCGCGACTGGCTCGGGGCCCGTCCATTGCTCGCGGACAATCTTGCAGAAACAATTCCACAAGATGTACCGAATGCGACAACCTCCGACCATCGGGATCCCGGGATTACCGAGCTGACCATCTCCTTTGCATAATGACGCCTCGACCCTACCCCCTCGGCCCTACCGAGCCACGTTCATCCGCTCACCCTTCGCCCGAAAACGCGCATCCCCGGTCACACGCACACGCCACCACCCACGACCACTGACATTTCAAGAAGTGCAATAACAATAATATCTATATATGATGGCTGGCCAGAAGCTCGCATCGATATTTTCCGTCGGCGTTGCACGTGAATTTCATACATAAGAATGCCCGCTCAACCGCCGCGGATCAACATTCAATTGTATCGAAATTACGGGTGAGAGTTATGTACTTTCTTCATCGTGCTGTGCTAAATCCAGACTGAATTTAATTCGCGTTTCAAAGTTATCTTCAGCGAGCTCAAACTCGAAATTGTATTCCGCGAGAAATTTTCCCAATTGATACGTCGCGTACAGTGACGATGAAATCATAAGGACGTAATAATATACAAATCTAAATCGAATATAATACATTTCTGTCGAGGTCGGGTTTTCTGGGATAGCCAAAATGTAAATGACGAATTACACTCGGTTAGTTGACGTTCCCGAAAATTATAGACGGCGCGGCAACTTTGCGCGACCTGTTATTCTTTCCCTAATTTAAATGTCAAAGAAAATTGTTTGATTATTTGCTATGCAAATGAAATTGTTTAAGATGAAACTGACTTAAACCGATGCGGTGGGATCGGGGTTTAACGGGAAGGAAGCTCGGATAATTCGGACGCGATAATTGGATCAAGAAGTCGGATCGAGGAGCGATCCTCTTTCGGTATTCCACGGGGGACACCGACTCCGCTTTAATTATGCTCCTCGAATTTAGATCGCGAGCCCCCGATAATGACGCGATCCACAAGCGACGCTTTCTTATAATTGTTTAACGCATCTTTTTTTCTGCAGCTTGTTTACAACGTCTATGCAATTAAAGTAACGGAAAAGAGCCTTTTACATTTCGTCAAATGCGAGATTCGAAATTTTAGCGAAACGATTTTAGATAAATTTGTAAAAATATTAAATTCATCGCGTGGAATATATCGACAAATAACACAGCAAGGATCACTGTCGATCTTCGTTCCTCGTTTATATTGCAAAGAAGAGCTTCTCGAGGGTACAAGCGACAGTCACCCTTTCGACCGCTTTCTCAACTACCGCCCATTTCTCTCACTCGAGAGCACTCGGCGCAATCTGCTGCGCGGAATTTGCATACATAAGCTATTAAGCAGCTCTTTTCATTTCCTCCCGTTTATGACAGTTTAGTTAGAATAATGCTTTACAAGATTGTCCCGTGAACAACGTTTCTCACAATGACATTTCTCTACCTGATTAATACTCGTCCGACCCGACCGTGTGACCCGTCAATGTGTCATCCGACACTCTTGTGCTCAATGTCAAAATTAGACACATGTCGCTATATATTCCTTGTAGTCTAAATTATTTCTTAAAAATTTTTCCAATTTTTTTTTTCATATATTTGATCAAACATATAAATCAGACTCTTTAAACCGACAAGGAGACCAACAGCATTGCTGGCAATACAAGAGGTACTCTACATAAATTCGCGTTTAAGCCCGATACGATATTTACTGATATTTTCAATAATTCAGTGACATAACACTGTATTATATAATTTATGGTCCATTGCTTATGAATAACTGTTCCGCCCGTAGCGCATGTGTATATCCCACAGCCCTAAGTAAGATTTATATCACTGTCGCTTGTGCGCCGCCGGCGCTTCTCCTTTTTTTTTTCGCGAAGAAAAAGCGAACAGCGATAATTTTATATAACGCACTATCGCAGATTTTATTTCTATTCTCATAAATACGAGTTCGTCGAGTTTATTGGCGAACCGATTGGCGATCGTTTGAGAATTGAAAAAGCGGCAGCGCGATTAACAGATACTTTGATTCAATGTCGCGTATCACGAATAATTAATTAAACGATTAATCGAGTAATCTAATAGCGTGGCGTTATGAAGATACGGAATCGATCGATCGACCGAACGGCATAAACGAGAAGCGTACATGGATATTAGTCTTAAAGGGGGCGGTCTATGCCATTACGAATTAAAGAACATCCTTTTCTTTTTTATTGCAGCATTTTTAATTACCGTGAAACGGCCGGAAATTTTTTTCCTCCCTACGAGACTACCGGTCGTCCCACGTGCAACCGTCGGCCGGTTCTTTCCCTTTACGAGCTGCGAAAAAACGCAGGGTGCTAATTAAACGAAACGTTTGGAATGCCTGGGCGCACTGGATCGGATAAAAGGGGATGCTTTCACTCGAGCACCTTTCTATTCTTTTATCAAAATCGCGTTCTTTTATCCGGGTAAAACATATTCAATGAGACGAGACGAGATATCGTATGTATACCTTTTGACGAGTATAAATACAGAGCAAAAATGTATGTCTGCAATAGACACAAAAATGTATGTCCACAACGCGTCTTTTTCCGCGTTTTAAATACGTATAATTCAAGCGAGCCTCTGTCTCTCTTTCTCTCTTGTCGCACCATTCAAAAGTTCGAGAAAGTATTTCCATATATTTGCAATTCTATAGTGCATTTTTATACTAGTCGGTCAAGACCCGAGAGCATCCTTGCTACCGTACTGACTGGAATTATAGATTCTACACGGTTGGCTTTATTCTCAAATGATAATTAATGTAACTATATTTTTCGATCTATTTAATATATTACAGACTAAAAGAATGGTATCAAAAATTCCTTTGTTCTTGATACTTTGCAAATATTAAAAATATACGTAATTAGTTTGATATGCATAAAACTTGAGAAAAAATATATGTTGTTGTTATGCGCAATCTCAAGTTGCTCGGGGAATGCTTTCCAATTAAAACGACGTAATATATGCATCGAGTTTGTCTTGTGGCAAAAGGCGCGGGAGAAGCTGTAAGGAGACGATGGCCGAGGGTTTGATTCAAGATGAGACGTCAAATGTTACTGCTGCGTGGGGTGGAGGCAAAATTTTCGGTGTCAATTCTCAGAGCAATCTGCCGATGCAGATTAGGATGCTCCCGGTCTTAGTTGATCCCGTATAAGATCCCGCTTCCTCCCTCGCACGTCGGGATTAATTGGGGTGAATTGTCCTGCCGCGCCCATTAATGTCACGAGTTTAATCTAGAAATAAAAATCTCGCAACGGGCTGCGATATCTATCTCGGTTTCCCGCAGTCTTTATTTTCCTCACCCAATTGTGCCGCATTCGAAACAGTTTCGTGATAAGCTTGCTTCGCGATTGCATTACTTTACATATCGTATTTATTTAAAAAACAATTAAGAAAAAGGAAAATGTAACGCGTCTCTCTTTAATTAACAAATTATTAATAAATTTTCCCTGTCGTGTTTTGAAAATGGATGCTCATTTTTATTTTATATAGCTATCCTTCCATGCACAATATAAATCAATGAATTCCAAAATAAAAATATTAATTAATTCAGCTAATTAATCTAATCTATTCCAGCCCGTTCATTTGAAATAAATAGATCTATCAAGTATTACATTTTTCTGGATTATTCTCAAGCAACAATTTCATAAACATATACAACTATAAGCATATTCTTTTGCATGTCTAACTAAATTCTATTAGATTCACTAGTTTGAATTAAAATCAAGTATAGATTGTGACTCACCGGCACGATGCGCAACAGCGGAGTTGTGAACTACGTTGATCTGCAAAATACATATATTTATCGAAATTAAAGCAGCGTCCAAAGTAATTAATTTTTCGAAAAATAATTGTTGGCGCATCGAACAGATACGAATGATTAAGTCGGTAAATAACAAATAGACTAATGTATTACTCACTTGACTGTTTGCTCCGCTGTCGCCTGCCGCCTCTCGCTGCTTAATTCCGTTGTTGACACTTGCGAAAATGAGGTTAATTACGATCGTACGCGTATTATTTGTAAAATTCGCGCAGCACTCTGAACGGCATCTTCCGATATTAATCGTATGCGACGCACAATCCTACGAAATACATGAGATGGTAATAATGATTGATACATCACAGTTTCTCGTTACACGAATTATTTGATTTTGCGTAAAAAAATGGATCACGCTATCGTATGTCGCTCGTGGAGCATCGCTTGACAATCATCGCGCGAGAATGATTACCTTGCATAAATATCGGAGCAGCAAGTTCGCTCACTTTCGTCAGTTTTCGTGAGGTCTTTGGACGAATGAACCGCGTGAAGTTTACTTCGAGATATCTTCATCGGCTCCGTTCTGAGAACGCTTAGCTAATCTGTGGTTAATAAAAATAGAGCATATCGGTAATCTCTTATCGTAGAGGATCGTAAAGAATGATTTGCGCGTGCTTTGTCGTTACCTGCAACTTGTCGCTATCATGTCCGAAAGAATAACGTATTAGTCGCTCGTGAATGATAGCGAATGATAACCTTGTCTTGCGTACGCCGAGCGTCCTTGGCGAAGCGTCATGTATACGCGACAAACAACTTAGCAAATGAACGTACGCCAACACCTCCGTTTCGCATAATTCCGACCCCGACGAATAGGCTGTAGCACCGCGCTTCGTCTCGCGAATTCGTTGGCGCTGAAAGTGAAATTAGCCGAAGACGCTCTCGCTCGATTGAGGAGCTTGATGAAGATGTCGTTACTTGTGCCGGGCGATTAACAATTTTCGGCAATCGGCAATAATGGAATTAATGGGTCTCTAATCGTGCGGTGCAAGTAGCGACATCTCCATTAAACACCTTGAGTGAGATTATCCGCGGCTACTTTCAGAGCGAACGAATCCGCGAGAGGAACTGTGACGTCACCGCGAGGTGTGCGGCGTGCGTGGTAATGGCCCGCTCATCAAAATCATTCGCAATCGGAGGTATCGGCGTTGTACGTTTAGTTTCAGAATTGCTGTTTGTCCGTATAACGTCACGCTTCGTCTCGAGCGTCTCTGCGTAATGTATACATACAAAGGTCGCGCGAGTCACCGTGCGACAATCGTTGCGCCGCATTGTCCTTCCGAACTCCGAAGATGGCGAGGGGATCGAGGAGACGGTACGCGAAGCGCGACTATTTTCTACGATGAGAGATTACCGATTCGCTCCATTTAATTACTTTCACTTGTATGTACGATTATACAATTTGCTCGCATAAGCGTCTCGCGGGACGGAGATTATCTTTCGAAGCAGATTTCACACGTATGTAAAGACATCATAGCCGACCGAAGTGAAAAACTTGCCGTCCCGTTGCGATATTTACGGTAAATGCAATATTTAAGATAAAAAAATCACTTGCGCGAATCTTTCATCGATTTAAATATTATTTCCGAAACGCATACCGCCGAATCGAATAATCCGTGAAACAGGAAGCTATGATATATCGATCGCATTATATTATTAATATCTCTATAGCGTGTATTTCGCTGGTAATGTTAAAATTGCGCGTTGCCTGCAATTTTAACACCGGCAATTTTAACGGGAGTGCCGCGCGATTTTCGCGTTGAATAGTGCGCAATTCGTAATTAGCCGCATTTTCGCGAGTGTATTATGCAGTACGTGTGCAAAACGACGAAAGCTGAGAGGAGCTGTGGGAGGCATCGGCCGACAGTGGAGCAATCCAGAGAGGAGTAAGTCTAATTTATTATATATAAATTATTTACGACTTGTTCACAGTCAATCCTATCTGTTTCCGTTTATTTAAATGCAGATTCAGAGATAAAAATAAGACAAAGATTTTTATAACTTATGAAATTTTAAATATTTATAAAGAAGATAGAGAGAAAACTTTTTTTTGGAAACTATATTAATTATTTTATATAATATATCTATATTTTATATATGTAAATAAAGAAAAAAAAATATGACGTGCGTAATAATTTCGGTTTTGTATTTTACAGATCGACGTAGTGGCGATAATACGTTGCTGCATCGTATCGATGAGTCTGAAATTATTTTCAATTGGGATAAAAAGGTAAACATATGTATATAACATAAATAAATGCAATATATATTTCACGGATCTATTGTCGTGAAATAATTGGGCTAAGGCAGATTAATGCAAAAAGTTTTAGCAAAGTAATGCAAAAATTACAAATCACATAGCGTATTCCAAATTATTAAAATATATAATAGTAAAATAATTTATTAAAACATGCCAATGTGATTGCATTTATATTCTAACAATAATTGTATTAATTTTTTTAATGTGCCAGTTTTAAATTAATCTTTTATAACATATCTATCTATATTTCATAATAATTTTACTGATCGATATTTGTGAATTTATAATAACAACTTATTGCTGTAATACTTGAGAAACCAAAAGATGAAATCATCAGAACAACAATAAAAATTCGATTTCATCTCAATTAATTAACGAACAATAAATCATTGCGAGCGTTGTAAGCGTATATAATTATCTATATCCGTAAATTTTGTGCAATCTTTGATCGTGTATGACTCGTGTATATGACTTCTTTATTATTTTCGTAGTTGGATCGTAATTATTTTGTTAAAATATCATATACGAGATATTGTATATATATGAAAAGATCGAATTTAAATTCACGGGTCAGATATATCCGCATTACATAAACTTCTTTCAGTCTTTCGAAAATACACGGAGCCGTGTACCTATGTGCGTATAGGAAAAGTTTTTTCCTGCGTGCGAGAATGTCGCTATAAATGCCGTGCAAATGTGTATCTATGAAAATGAGGTACAAACTCGGAGGCCGATATCTGTCGAGTTCACTGCAACATACTGCTCTAACATCAAATTGGTCTGCGTCCCTATAATATGCTCTATAATAGCGATCGCGTATGTGCTCGCGTTTTTCCTTTGTCAATCGTTTCGGCAATTCTTTTATAAGATATTCTCAAAGAATAAATCAAAGAACAATCGCGAAGCAATCGGTATTGTTTGTCGCATCTCGCGCTTTGTGATATCAAACGAATTGAATGAATTTTTCGACAGCAATCGCTTTCGCGCGGCACAGTTACGCGATCGATTTATTTGCTATAAAAACTGCAAAAATTATATTCGGCTGCGAAATGCATCGGCAAATAGCGGCTATTTGGCACGAGATTTGGAATGGGGGAAAGAGACCGGAGGGGAGGAAGGGGCCAGGCGAGAGAAGAAAGGGAAGAGGGAATTTTTTGTGGGGTGCGAGCCGTTATGGTCAGGATTACTGCGGCAGAACTTGGGGTTCACTCCCTTTGACCGACGCACTTAGAACAACAATAACTCACTAATCCAAGCGGGCGCGGCCCTGCACCCGAGCGCCGATGAAAAATGTAAAAATCCGGAAAACCACTGCTCCGTGACAGTTCAATACATTTTAAATGCGTTCCGGCGCATTTGTGGGATACGATAAGCAGCCGCGGGAATCCGGAGCCACGCGAACGCCCCAATATGTCGGTTATTTATCGTCAGATTTATGGAATAAATGAGTAGGAGAGAGTGGAGCCCGCACTTGTCGCGGGCAATCCTCAAATATATGCCTTTTCGTTTCTATTATTAACGTTTTCGCGCGATCGCGTCTGATGGAATCGCAAATTTCGGAGAAGCCGCGCGAATGAATCGGAACGCGAATCGTAAATTATGTATCGTCGAGATCGCGCTGATGACGGGAAAATAATACATAAATTATTCAGAGACGAATAATACGCGCTACGGGAAATACGCAATGAGCCGGACGAGGGAAATGTTCGAAACGGGATAGATCGATGCGCCGAACGTTGATGAGAGAAGAAAAAAAAGGGTAGGAGGGTGGGTGGAATGCCTTTATACGCCGCATCTCTATGGGATTCTTTCACGACACGCCGATTTAAAACGCCTTTTAAGACGGTCGTAGGGCTCGGGTGGAATTGTGCCGGGGCTTGAATCGAGCATTGAACTCTATATCGCTCGCGTACCCTCTTGACGCTCCATAAGTTGCATTCCTATTTTCTGTCGTAATAAGGAAGCTCGCGCCGTGCCAATAAAACGCGATCGACTGTAATCGCGATTCGCGATGATTAAAAGAGCAATATGCAAAGCTAAACGTGTGTCGACGGCGACGCGCAGAAAGAAAGAAAAAAAAAAGGAGAAAAATTCGGACGCGACGAATCTCTTCGCCTTCGGGTCTCAAAGGCGCGAATGATCGTCTCGCAGGGCCCGCCTTCTAGCCGCGATAAACGCCTCGAGTTTTAAAGTTTCTCTCGCGCGATCCGCATAAGGTGCGAGAACGAGCCCCGCTCTCGGCAATCATACGGGGAAAACAAAAGCACAGCCGGGCCGTGCATTATAATACAACGAACGCTAGAGCGCATTCGACAGCTCCAAAACTGCTGCTTTGCAATTCGGCGCGCGCTCAACTCATATAGTTTTTACATAATCGCGTTTCGTCACCGAACACGACATCCATTCGATAGTTTGCCCGCGCCATGCGAAAAGTCGTTATTATAGGGCGCATACGTGATAATAACACGTATGTATAATGTATAGCTGTGTGAGAGAGAGAGAGAGAGAGAATCATCGCGCTCGGATAACGGTTATATATTTTGCCGTACATTCGCTTTTAAATGAACTGTTTCGCTCTCGAGAGCTTCGTGCATACATGTGCGGGCAAGAATGCATCATTGCTAATAAGCGTTAGACCATTCATCGTTATACACTGCGCCTTTTTCGGCACAGATTCCGAATGGAGCTGCAGGCGGAACTTTCACGGCAGGAGTAAAAAGAAAAATGCCGTGAATGATGGGAGGGGGGAAAAAAGCGGCATGCATTTTGAGTGAAGTTGAGCGTACCTTTCGAAAGCGTAGTGTCTCTCCTCAAATCTGTAACACATAAACAAGCTTCGTCACTATACCGTGGTATCGTAGAACTATATACGCGGAGGAGAGGTCATTGGTTCCGAACTCGTTTCATAAACTAGTTTCGACAAGCTCATCGGGCGAGAAGGGGGTCGACGAAGGCAGGACCGCGAAGATTATTTCAGACGGTAGACGGGTAGTTTGGCGCACGTAGGTAGTTATACCTATAAGTAGACATAATCATCACCATTGTAGATAGGCAGACGGGCGAGGCTAATTTCCAAACCCTGCATTATGGTCCCCGAATCAACTTTTCTATAGTATAATAAGCCATTTTATATGACGCGCGCTCTCGCAATTATATTAAGATTAGATAAGACATCGGCCTCAATTTACAGGCGAATTCAAAATCCGTCGTATACAAGAGTTCGGAAAGATAAACTCAGACGTTTTACTCTTCTCGAAAAAGTACCCGAGATATTATTTCGACAGGAGAGCAACGCAACGGCGGCAACAGGCGTTTTCTTGCGCGCGAAACGAAATTCCGGAATAAATAAAGCGCCATTCGGCGTGTATTCACAATGCTATTTACTTCTAAGCGAAGTTTCTTCCGACATTACGAACGAGAAGCCAGCGGTCGCGGGCGTTTTTCCGATCCTGTTCGACGAAGCGACTACGCGGACCGGAATGCGAAGCCGTGCGATAAAAAGCGAATCAAATATCTACCATTGGACCGAACCACTCGACTAATGAAAATACCTATTGTTACTCCCTTGGTTTTGCGTCAAGAAACTTTTCGTCGCAACATTTAGTCTCCGCGCGGTATTTCGTTGACAGAAAAAGCATTACTTGAAATCGACGTCGCGGGCAATCGTCAAAATTAATAACTGTACGAGATATATGGTATGCAGAGCAAACGTAATTTACCGTTTTGCATAAATGATCATAAATTGTTCGGTATTCCGTATGGAATAATGTCGAAGAGCACCACATCAAGATTGGCATGCGTAAAATCCCGGCAGCGCGAGAATCCCCCCTTCTTCTCGACGGCATTCGCGCGGTCGAGTGTCGTTCGATTTCGATGGCTTAAGTTTCCGCCCAAGTGAATTGGACAGTGAAGAGTAGGTGGCGAGGAAGGAAGATGTGAAAAACAATTGAGATGTCGGAAGGAGCGACGTTTCAAAATCCGCGACGCGGCGGGGAAGCGGTTCGGCGTAGCGCGCGCGTTGCAGTTCCTGATTCGCATTTAAGTTAGCCTCACGTTCCGCCGGTGCACGTGATCCAGCTGCTCGAGAGGAATCCCACGTATCCGTGACGTCGCTACGTCTCTACCGCGAGCAGGCCGCATGCGAATACGCGCGGGTGCGCGCGAGACTTCTGTCTAGCCGCGCGCTGACTTATTAGGGATTCTGCACGCGGGCCGCGTGCAGAAATTCGACGTCGCGGCACAGGCGCCACGTGTACCCGCCGGACGCACGTTCTTCTAATTTGCGATACGTCTTCGGACTGCTTAAAACTCGACCAACCTGTTTCCGTACCGATGCCGGTCGATCGTGTTCTCCCGTGTCTGTCAAAACCGGAAGAGAGGAGCCGAGAAAGAGTGAGAGAGAATGAGAGTTATGCGTGCATCCTTTCGTTTACATTCCTTAACTATAACGTGCGCGTGCGCGTGTGCGTGACGTTTTTCGACGGATAAAAATGCATCTTTCGAACCGAAATACATAACATCGCGCAGCTTCCTGGGAGGGAAAGGAAAAAGAACTTTTTGACCGTTAAATCGCAGAGTATAATAGGTCTTCAGCAACTTCTAACGTACGACGTGATAATTCACGATGATAGATATCGCGTATCCAAAATATTCGCGTAATCCTTTCTTTGTATCAGCCGATAGGGAGGGAAGGATTTTGCGAGAAGCAGGCACCCTGTGGTTATGCTTATGATTCCCGAGAGTATCACTTCTCTAAATCTTGCTTCCTACGCACCACATTTGTAAGAGATCTCGCATCGTGGTTTTCATATTCTTCACATAAATAACCGAAATCTAACGAATCCGCTTTTTTCCGCGCAAGAAATTCACGTACGACTTAAAATACATACAATACATTTCGAATTTAGTATCGTACATTTGATGCAATTAGCATGAAAGCGTGCATATTAATCGCTTCAAAAACATTTGTGCTTTAAAGCAAAGTGAAATTAGAACACATGCGTAGAAAATATAAATAGCACGGCATAAACTTTCACTCATCGAGATCGAGTTAATAGCACCTTCTTGGTGGCGGCGGCGGCGGCGGCTGCGAAAGAGCGACAGATCCTGGTAACGCTGCATCGGCTACAGCGAGCGGAGGCAAAAGCGTAGAAACGCGCATTGTCCGGCGCGTTTCGTAAGACGGGAGGAAACCGTGCGACAATACGATCGGGTCTATCTCCGGAGGTCTCTCAGGTGGGGGAGACCAACGGAGGTGTAAGAAAAGCGAGCGCGAGCGGAGAAAAATGCGGCTCGCCCGTTGTTTCGCTTTCCTCCTTTGAGTTTTATTTATTGGCCGACGTGAATATTCAGCTCCGGCGGACAAAACTCCGTTCCGTTCCGGACGCGCTCCGCAGTCGGCTCCGGGTCGGTGCGGTAAAGAGAGACGGAGGCGCTGTGTCACTTACAGAAACGCGAGGCGAGGGTGATATTGTTGAACGCGGCGGCCGCGTCGTCCGCGTCGTCGACGCGAGTACAATACGGCCGAGAATACGGCGGAATGCATTAATATTAATGGTGGTACAAAAGGAGTCTCTTCTTTTGCTAACGCTCGCGCGCTCGCGACAGGCTCGACCGCTCGTCGAACTCTTCCCGAAAGAGACGAAATCGCGATTGCCGATCTGCGAGATTTGGCCGCAGATACACGAGAGCGATGTGAGAGAAAGACAATCGAATCACGACGAAGAAACGCTATATTGTGCGAAGATTATACCTTCTCCGTTCTCGCGAAATTTCTGTATCTTTGTACCTACTCGTCGGATGCAACGCGGCACAGTGGCTCCAGAGAACGCATCTTGTCGTAAGGTTGTCGCCTCGGGCGTCGGTTATACCAGTGACGATGCACCTCGTAACGCCCACCATCCTTTATCATCGTATACTGCCTCAGATGATTTGTTATTTCAGTTTTTTAATATTTTACGCGTACATTGTATACGCGAAACTAGCACTGTATGTTTTGTAATTTACAAACATTAGATTAATATTAGGTACAAATATTAGGTTAATATTTTTAATTCACCTAACAAAAATATAAAAGAAGTGAGAGAGAGAGAGAGAGACAGCTCGCAAAATTCAGTTGGAAGAATTTTTATGCAAAAACTCTGCGATTTATCTCGAAAGCGGCATCTCCATAACCCGGTTAAAGACTTTGATGGCCTTGCAGTTTAACTTCCAAGGTACATCACGAGATGGGGAGCAAGATACAAAGTGGCAGATTCTTCGCGCGACGTAGGTGGGTGGTGTGTGTGTGAGTCATGGTTATACATATTAAATACGTCGGATCGCGTTGACTAACGAAACACCGCGGCGTTGATTACATCTCGCCGCCGCTTATCTCGATGATACGTCGTACAATTTTTCTCTTTTCCGCTTCGGGTTAATGACATTTGTATTTATTTCGCAATATAATATATAACGTTCCGCTCTTTTCATTTAGGACGGTATAGAGTCGATTGTTTCGCTTTAGGATCGAGTCGAAACCGTAGGGATAAACAAAAGTGGACCATGAAAATGCGGTGTAGGATGGCGAGAAAACGACGAAGAGCTCGGGGGAAAAATAACGTAGGTCGTGGAATGGCTTAGGAAAGCCGATCCGAAGTCGGATGGGAAGCGAGAGGAGAAGGTCTCGAAGTTTCGCTGGTCGGTTGACCTCGTCGGGTAATAAGAATAAATGTGATTCTATTACGGGTTCAATTGTTACGGCGGCAGATAGGCCACTCTCTCTCTCTCTCTCTCTCTTTCTCGATGGAGGACGAAGGGTAGATCGTAGTCGATAAGATTTAGCCGGGAAGGTTTTACCTATACGAAAATCGCTCCGCCACTTCGGACATTCGATAGGGAGGAGGATGCCGGTATTAACGAACGTTACTGGCGCTTGTAACATCGTTAAAATGTAATCATCCGTAGTGCCGAAAGAACGTTATACGCCCGGTGCCGAAGATGTTCGCGGCAGATTCGTAATTTGCCTTTTATGGGAGGCACGTGGCAAAGATCGCTATGTAAATCAGTTCAACATAAATATATTATACGTAAAAAATCTTTATAAAATATATCGACGATCGTATTATAATAGTAGATATATTAAGATCATAGTCCGCACATATACAGAACGCAAATCAAATCTGCTCCCCTACTTCTCTTAGGACACTACCCAAGATAAGAAAGAGACGTGCGTAATAAATTCGCGCGATTTCGTAGAACGCGAATCGGGACTGAGAGAGTACTCACCGTGCGTTGACGGAGGTAGGATTTCCGACGTCGTCCATGGACGGTTTCCTAGAATGAAACCACGAGTGAAATTCGTTACTGTTCATCCGCAGCTGCATAAGCGCGGGATGGTTGTACGCGGTCGTGCATATATGGCTTGCCGATTGCCACATTTCGCGTGTATTATTATAGCAGATTTCTTCTCCTCAACAGACGTCTGTAATATAGGACAGGCGTAATTATTTATGGAATATTTATGTCGCGCGGAGACCGGATTTATATTTGGATCGCTGTCGAGCTGCTATGAATCATCTCTACATTTGTCATCTCATGACGGGCGATCATTGTGCACAGTTTTTAAGTCTCTACACACGCTATTCGCTCTCGTCCGCATTCGTGTATCGTTAAAATGTCTATAAATCGCTAATTGGACGAGCCTCTTTCGAACACAACGCGGCGAAGAGTTCTACGTGCATAACGCACAACACGTTATCGATCACAAATTACGATAATTATTACAAATTTTCCGACGTTTTGCGTGATCGCGATTAGTTCAAGTAAAAAAAGAACGGTATTCCTGTGATACTCGTGACGCAATTTGTAAAACAACTTCGGTGTGAAAACGAACGTAGCGAAAGTGACGAAGGAACATCCGCGCGACGACCGGTCTTGAGAACGTGTGCGTAAGTGTCATCGGCGCGTGTTGGCCCTCGTGCTCTTCGAGGGTTCCACCCCCGTCATCCCCAAAACGTCATCCCCACCAAGCCGGTGATCTTCGCTGCGCGCGTGCCTTTCTCGCCAATGTAACGCAACGCACTTTTCAGGAAGGCGAGGGGATTAATGGACTTTTCTACCATTTATCGAAGAGAGCGATATTATTAGCACGAATCGCGGAAAAGTAAAATAGTAAAGTTGACAGAGGCAGCGCGAGCGGCAATCATCTCGAGTAAATTATATGTTATCGATTAGTCGTATTATGTAAGTTTCTTTCAGGACACTTATCGGCAGGCACACTAAAAAAAATTATCTGAATAGATACAAATGAAAGCTGTAGAATAAATATATATTCATATATGAACAACACTCCGACAGTCGAGATTTAACATTGTCAGGCTGGAGCGGAGCGCGCCAGTGCTCTGTCTTCATTTGACCGATTGTGAGATCTGGAACCCCGCGACGCCAATAAAACGCTGCAGTATCTCTCCGCGGTAGCTTGTGTATCTATTTTCACCGCCGCAACCTTATCCCTCGGCCGACCCTAACATTGCGTCGAACTGTGGAGGGGATCATCGATTAAAGTCTAATGGGATTATATCCTTACGACGGGTCGTCGCTTTCTCTACTTTGCACGAATAAAAACGAATTTCGATTTAAACATTCAATTGTAAAAAAAATTTAAATTTCACGCGATAAAATACTTCTTATGTCGCATCCTGCTTCAAAGCTGCAATGATATGGCAGAAGCATACTAACATAAGCAAGCAAGGATGATATTCTCATTAGTTGTTATTTGCTATTATTTATTAGTATTGTTATTAATATTGTAATATTAGCTGGGAGCATTTACACGCCGCGACTGGCGACGTAATCAGAGGAGCGAAGATGATTTTTGCCGCTCTGAAGGTCAAGTGCGGATTTAAGCGGGAGGTAGCGGGAAGACACGCTTCCGAGTTTTGCTTATCGATTCAAATCGCGTTCCCCGCGTATGAATGAACGAACGAGTGGGCGAGTCAAGCCACCGGTTGAATGGGGAGAGCCCCACGGGTGACCACAAAGTACACGCGTGCGTATCGACGATCGTTCGTGTTCTCCGCGCGGCTCTGCTCTTCACACGTCTTTTCTCTATTTCTTCCTTATCGCGTCTGCTCTGTGATCGCGCTCGAGACGGATCACGAATCCGGAATCGTTCGAATCGAAACGGATATATTCTCTCGATCTATACTTTTCGTGATGTTATCACAACACATCCCATGATTATTTCTAGAGTTTCGCTCCCGACCTCAGGAGCTTCTTCTCGCGTCCCGAGCATACGGATTAATCGCGCCAGTGATGTAATTCGATGTATCGGACGCGTAGCTATAGGTATGCGGCGCGACTAACTCGGAGCGTTTTGTATCGCTGGCGCTAAAAATGCGTGGCGAATCGACGGGAAGGATCGTCCTGACTAGGCAACTTCGAGGCAGATCCGTTTTCTACGATCTTAATAGGTATCGGATCCGCTCAAAGCATTCCGCCGTGCGGCATAGGTTATACGCCTAGGTACCCGGATCGCAGTCCACCCGATCGCCAAGTAGTAAATCCGCCCTGTTTTTCACGCGTTGGTTTTAGCCGCGGCATTAGAATCACGGACCATCGCGCATCGCTTGTTTTTCGGTCACTGTCGCGCCGTGATTCCAAAGTTCGCGCGCGCGCGCTATTAAACGACGCTCGGATTTTTGTCGGGCTGTCCGCCGCATTGTGCGCAATTATACACGCTTTTTGTCGGCTAAGCCGGTGTAAAATGCGGTTTTCCGAAAATGGCAGTGGAACGAAGACTGGTCTCTACGAGGTGGCGTACGGGATAGTATCGTTTAATTTGGCATAAAACATCAGGCCTCGTCTACTTCGAGAGCGCTTCTGTCTCGTTCGTTACTTCATCCTTCTTCCCGCGCTCCCGGGGCTTCTTTCTCGTCGTCGTCATCGTCGTCGTCGTCGTTGTTGTCTCGCGATAGGTTCCGCGAACGTTATACTTTATCCGTACACCTTATTTCAACGTTTCATTTCAACGCCTCAATCCTTCTCCCGTCGCGTTTCTCTCTCGCAAACGAGAAATTATTTTCAAGGTTTACCCAAGGCTGCTGAAAAGAAGTAAAGAAAATTTTTCGCGATACCGATTGTAAATACTGCAATCTCTCGAAACGGGAAGTTGAGCGAGGATTCGGTAAGAAACGTTTTTGCGTAAGGTGCCTGTCCGTGTAACTGCTGCGAGAGAACTAAACGCGTGGACGTTTTCTGACTGATCGAGTTACCAGTTAAGGCGATGCAAAATGCGGTTTCACTTTTTGTGCGTTGGTTTAATAGTGCCACACTATTACAACTATCCGGATAAGCGTAACAATATCGTCTTTCTTTCATATTCTCGTTAACGCTATACCTCGATTGGACGGATTGAAAAAGAAAAAAAGAGGAGAAATCGGTCATGATGCCAAATGAATTTCGCGAGGAAGGTGCAACTTGGTCCGCCGTGTATCTGGATATGGACGAACGTCCCGGTCGACAGTGACGAGATAGAATAGCGAGGGAACCAAGCGAGAGCGAATAATAGCGGGCAGAAGCGGCGGTGGCAAAGGAAGAGGGGCACGAAGGGGGATCTCTCTCGAGAAGGGACGAGTAGGGGGCATGGAAGGCGACCGGTCGACCGGTCCTCTGGACAGACGGATGGAAAGACAGACAGGAGACTGGAGACCGCTCATTACGGGCGGCGCATGCGCGAGGAATGCGGCGGCTCTGGTCTCTTCGATACAATAAATATAGGATCGGAGATCGGCGGGTGAGCGAACGCGGGATGTGTGCGGCGTGAGAGAGAGAGAGAGAGAGAGAGAGAAGAGGAGAGGGCGACTCCGCTCCACGCAGCTGAGAGAAGCGAGGGTAAAACCGATGAACGGGGCCCGGGGACCGACAACAATGCCCGACAACGTAGTAACGACATCCAGTTAAATCGCGGTGGTCGACAAAAAAATACGCGCGGCCCGCGATTCTTTAAGGGCTCGGTAAACTCCGCAACTGCGCGTATCTCCGTCGACATTTACCATCGTCGTGAGGCGCGAGCGCGAATTCGAGCGGACGTGGAGAAACCGGACGAGGCGCGCATCGAACACGCCGCGGGCGAAACTTATCGTTGTTTCGCCCGCGATTTCGATCGACGAGATTGTCCCCGCGTGTCGCGGTGCGCGACACGATCGTCCTCGTCGCATTTTTGAATTTATAATTAAGAAATCTTGAGCGATCGATCCTACAATAACGATTGTAGACCTAATCGTAAATCACGGTAATTCTTCGACCGCGTGTACAATCAAAATTAAATAACAAAAAAAGATCATCAGGTAATCTTGCGTTGGCGATTATGAGTAATATAATTAACATTTCGCTCTCTTAACGGCGCTATTAGCAGGAACGAAAACAGGCGCATTACAGCTTAAAAGCCCGCGATAGAGGATGTGGCGGGTACCCGGTTTAAAATTGTAGGGAACCGACAAGGTAGATGTACCCACGATATAAATGCTGATCAATCAAGGCGAACGGAGCATTTAATCGATACTTCAATAATTATCAACCTGCTCCGGACGAGTTTCGCAGATAACCCTTATGCATCTTTTTATCCTAGTGCTCCTTTTTTTATTGATCAATCGCCTCTGCTTAATAATCACTTTGAATATAATTTATGCCGTATAAAACGCCAAAACGATACATTTTCTCAATCGTCGCGTGCTATTTCAGATAATTTTCTCCGAGACTCGATCGCTAATATTTGTCAAGATATATTTTCCGCGTTAATGACGCATAATGTGCCGGAGATGTCTCATTAATTTCAGCATGTTCAAATACCGCGACGCGAGTATTTTTCATGCGGGACAGCTCGAAGATTCGCGAGTGACAGAGAGGTGTACACAGGCAGGACGGGATTAAACCGATAACGATCCGCGTGTCATTAATCGCGTGCCGTTGTTTGCAATTAGCGTGAAATCGCTCGCGGTTAATTACTGCGATACGAGTATCGCGCGTTTGGTATCCGCGTCTCTCTCGCCATCGTTAATTATACTTTCCTACGCGCCACGTGATTATGCATAATGGATCCATTTGCGGATGTGCGTTTTTCGAATAAACCACACGGTCCGCTGTAAACAACATCATAAAACTTATGTCGATTTTTTCGTGTTGGTCGTTGCGATTTTACTCACTCACGCGTATCTTTTATAAAATCTCGAGGGTGCACTTTTCGGAACAGCCAAATTCCTAAGAGGACACGCAAGAATCTGATATTCGACAGACACGTAAGTGTAACAAACATAGTAAGACGCTTCGGACGTGTGTTTCGTCGTATATTTTCATATGTATATTATACACGCGTGTACGTACGGTAGTCCGTAAAATAGCTTCGTGCCGATTCTGCGCGTTCGTTATTCGTCACTCGAGAGAGTTGCAGATTTATATTTGTGAGTAAGAACCTTATGTGCCCTAGACCTCGATGCTTCGCTCGTTGCTTCTGCGTACGCGCCGCAGCGCTCACTTTGAACAATGGAATTGCGTCGCGACGACGATCTCTCTGTATCAATCGCCAACGAAAGCTTTTATATCTCTTCGACCTTCCATCGAAAGCGCTCTTTTTCACAGCGTCGCTTTGTATTATTAGCTTAAATCGGTTTCCTCCTCGCTCTGACGCGTTGCCGGGATGTCACCCGTTCATCAACGACTAACGTTTGCAAAGATCATAAGCTTTTTCGAACGCTCGTAATTCGCGTCGATGAGTGTAAGCGAAAACGAGTCAATGCGAGAATATAAATTTCTTACCTGTCTGTCCAGCAGAGTGCGTCATCTCGATACCTGGAAAGAATTAGAAAAATATTAGTTTTAATTATTTCAATTATTTTATTTTATTTATAATGGAGATTTTTTTTAAGTAACCGTCTATCGTCTTTTGGTGTATTGCGGCATTATTCTTTAAGGCAACCCGGCAGAAGTCGATGCTTGTACAGATATTACTAATTCGTCGCGGTGCGCCCGATCGGCGCAATGCCCCTCTTATGCTCAACCCCAAAGTCCAAATCCCGTGTCGCAGCTTACAGGAAAAAGCTTTTATATGAAAGCTCGGATAGGAATAAGATCACCGTCGTAAATTGCGCGCGAACCTAATCTTGCGGTTGAATGCCACCGTATACATCCGTTTTTGGGGACCTTTTTTTCTATTTTTCCTGAACAAATCATAAAAATACTTTCTGCTTTTCTTTAAAAAAAAAAAAAGAAAATGAAATTTATAACTTTTATCCGCCAGAAAGTGATATACAATGAACAAGTTAAAATTCTCCTCGCAATCAAGCATATCTTGGGAAAAAAATTCGGAACAGTGCCATATAATCTTCAGAGCGTTACCTTAGGAACGTCATTCGCGTCAGAAAGTCGCGAGCCTCCGGCGGGCATCGTCACCGGGTGACGAAATTCGCGATTCGTCGGGACTACGACGGGATACGCCTGCACGGATGAATCAGAAGAAACGCGAGAAAGTGGGGCCTGTCAGCGCGACATGATTTAAAGCCAAATATTACGACAGAACGCACATTCCTGCGACGTCCCCGGTTAAGCGAGACGAGGGTGAGCGACACCGGGGGATGAGCCGTAAGTCGTGCAGATATGTTGGCCGCGGTTTATTACCGGGACGGCAGGAATGGTCGGCGGGGTGGAGGAACATTGATTTAATGCGGGAGTAATTGGGCGGCCGGACGTCTCTATGAGCACGCCACCTTCCACCGCTAATGCGTTCCCGCCCTTCTAACCTTTTGGCTAACCACCGTGTGAGCGAGCGAGCCTTCCTCTCTTCTGCCACCCTCGCTCCTTCTTTCATCCGCGGGCGGGACGTGAGAAAGGCGAACGCTTTATTACTGCTTTTATTGCTCGGCGAGTTTTAGCCGCGCGTATCGCAGGTTGGATCGGCTTATGGCGCTTATTAAACTTTGATGTCACCAAATCGCTCTTTCACTCTCGTCCGCGTCTGGCTTCTCCACGCTAGCGTCGCAGTGGCACGCGGACGTACGAATACGGAAGCGAATACCCGCGCGGAGGAGCGGGCACCTTTGACGGAACGCGATAATTTTATTAGAATTCAAATTTTATTGTGGAACATTCATCAACGGGATCGCTAAATCAAATACACCCCTTGCACTTACGAAAAGCAATAAATCGTTTTCTTAAAATAGTCACGAATATTCTTCAATTATTTCATCGGTGATATATAATCATCGATATGAAATAATTAAATGTGTTGCTATAAATTCCTCAACACCTGCACATTCATTTATAATTACGTATCGGCGGAAAAACTGGGGCAGAACTGTGTCGCGTCATTTTCGAACGGTTCGTCGGTTTGACTTGTTACAATTAGTCACGTTGCTTAAGCACACATACAACAGTGGAATGTGTATACTTACAGCCACCTATAAGAGTAAGTTAACGGTCATTACAGGCAATCCCGTTTATCCTCGTCATCGCGTGCAGGAAATTAAAGGGTGCGTCTCGAGATTTGCGTGTAATGTACCCAATGAAACGTTCCAGGTGTTGAGATTTTATTAGCTCAAATACCCTCGCGAAACACGCCGCACACAGAATGCAAATGATGCAACGATATCGTAACGGCGCAACGGAATTACCGGTTCGAGTATTTTCTATTATATTTCTCCGAGAGTATACGAGACGCGAAACACGCGTTTCAGTCGACCGGGAATATACGCGTCGGGGGACTTTGCGCTACAAATCTTCCCCATGTAATATTAGAGACGGAATTCTCGCGGGTGTTTCCCGCATTTCGCGAAACAGGATGCGGGAACGAACGAGTTCGAAAGACTTCCGAAGCGAAAACGGAGCCTCGTCCTCCTCGCGCCGCGCACCATGTGTCGCTAAGGTCGCCGAGAAGAGGCGCGGAGGGAAGTCTCCGAGCGCGCGTTCCGGGCGTCTCGCAACGAACGAGCGAGGGACCGCAAACGTGCTCTACAAGTAGTCATAATACGTGGACCGGGGGCAGACTCGCACGTGGTGCGATCACGTCGAACGACGCTCCGGGCTCCCTTCGCCGCCCGCCCCCCTTCCCGGTGTAAAGTTAAACTTTGGATACGCCGGCTGCGCGAAATGTCTATCCCGGGCAATGCGACAGTCCGCTTTCTGATCGTGCACGCGCACGCACGCACGCTTGAAAACACACTAGCTTTCGGCGACGACCGATCTAAAGAATGCTCTTTAACGCAGGGAATGATGAGAAATGAGAAACTATAAATTTTATACGGATACTGAAGATTTTTATTTAATCTTTCTAATATTTTATTCTCATATCGTTTTTCTACTGGCGATAATTTTATTGTAATAATAAAATACATTTGTTTTGCCTGCAGCAAAACAGATCTTATTATAATATCAAATAAATAGTTATAGAGCAAAATATATCTGATTTCACATTAAATGTAGCAGAAATGATTTTGCTGCGATATAGCAAAATTATTTTTCTTTATAATATTTTTGTCTACGCGATGTTTACGCGTATTAGACATATAATTGCTTCGGGCATTCGTTGTTCTATGCAAATGATTTATTTAATGCTCTGTTTAAGACGTTAAACTCTAGTTCGCTAAGTCTGAGATATGTCATTTGCAGCGAATTAAGCGAGTCAGGTGAATGTAACATTGTCGACTAGCAACACGACGCTGTAACAGGTACCATTTTCGCGTTAGCAGAATTTGAATGTAGCGAAACTTTGTTACAGCTGACGGTGCTATTTTCGTTTCGCGGACGTCGTAATTCATACTCGATGAAACTTTAATTCGACTCGCGAATGAAAAGCTTTCGAATCTAACAAATCGTGAAATATTACGTTAAATCGATGCTGAATGCATTATAAAATCATCATTATACATAATAATATAATAATTGTTTATCGATACGATCGAGATTCATATGAAAATCATTATATTCAAATAAGAAGATATTTTATCATAACAAAAAATTATATGTATAATAATTTTAATATAATAATATCCACATCACTTTTACGTTGATGAAAGTTCCTAATGCGTCACAGCTTCTAATGTTTTCAATCTCATCGATGCGCACAGATAATTTCTGTCCGAAGCGAACGTTAGTATAGGTACAAAGCAGATTGGAACATTGAAAGTTTCGGTCGCAAAGAGATACGCGCTTCGTCGATGAACAAATCGAGTGATCCGAACGATGGTTACGTATCCTCGGAGTTGTTGCCGGGAAAAAAGTTTGAGTCCCTCGCGGGACAGCACCCCGGTGCGGTGCGGCGCGGCGCGGCGCGGAGCGAAGCGGCGCAGAGCGGAGCGGAGCGCGGAGTGCTGCCGGTCAGTGCACCGTCGTCTCTCTCGACTCGTTTCGGTATACCTATATGCAGGCACGACCTACGTTCCAGCGGAACGGGAGAGCGGGAGCATAGCTGGCGCATTATCACATACGTTAAGTTTTTCTCCCTCTATTGGCCCAGAGCGGGGACACGAAAAACGACTGATTAATCGAACCAACACGGGAACATTCTTGCCCCGGGATATAGAGCGAGAGCGAGAGAGAGAGAGAGAGAGAGAGAGAGAGAGAGAGAGAGTAAGAAGAGAAACCAGTAGTAGTGATGGCAGCAGCCGGCCTGCCCCGTGCCCACCACACCCTGCATTCGCGCATCTGCGTCCGCGGGCGCGGACAAGACGAGAGACGACGAGGAGCGGAACGGGAGAAAAAGTCCCTTGCCAGTACCATCGCAGGGAGTTCCACCGATCTCTTTCGTCTTCGACGAAAACCGGAATGTGTTTCTTAGCGGCCGAGATATGTTCCGAACTTACAATTAACGCGGCGCAATAACGTACGCGGCTGTGCGCGGCAAAAAAAGCCGCGATACCGGCTTGTAATGCGTGCGCGTTACGTTACGTCGCGTGTGCAACGCCTAATTTGGGATATCCGCCTCTCTCTCTTTCTCTCTCTCTTTCTTCCTCCCTTTCTCTCGTGATCCTTTTTCACCTTGCGACAGTTATGAAAGTATTTCCATTGAAACAATTTTGTTAATTTGATTTAGAGTTGCTTTACTTGGTGTTTCTCTCGCGTACGTAAGTCGGCCTACTGCTATATAGATTGCCATCAGGTTCTGATTTTGATATTAGAAAAATGTCGCCAACGTTTACCGTACCTCGATGCGTATCGAATTAAAGGACATAAAGTGATATGATATAATAGTCTATACGCGCACTTAACGTTTTATGGCGTAACGCTAATGTTCTTCGTGCATGCCGTTTCGCATATATCGCACGATAGGAAAATGAGCGACTTTACACCGTAACGCGATAAGATTTATATCTTGTTAACAACTCGCGCGTTTATTGTCGAGGAGGGTGTTCGGACAAAGGAAGAGGATAACGAAAATTGAAGGTAGCGTTATACTTCAAAGGCTACACGAAGACGTTGACATGTAAGAAAGAATCGGGCAATAAAGAAGGTTGGGGATATTACGTGTAAGTATAAGGTGGTAGCGTTACGCACCTACTGCCACTTCGCGCGCGGATTATTTCGACGATGTAACGAAAGCTAAGTCGTTGTAGTGGTGCCGTAATGCGAAGCGTTATGTTGTCGCGTTGAGTCGTAAAATTCAACCTGTTAACTTCTGATCGATTCTCAGCCCACGACCATATATTATAAGCTTTAATATTGAATTCCGAACGTCATGTGTAATAGTTTTCATTTGTTCCCACCGGCTGCGCTTCGCCGCATTTTATTTTATTCACTTTTGTCAAGGCTCGCGGTGAAACATAAACTCTGAGTTTACTCGTAAGCCCAGAAGATACTTT